TCATTGGTGTCTTAGCTTGGGTTCTCCAGAGAAGCAAAACTAGGGAAGCTTATGTATATGTGCATGTAAAGAGAGATTCATTTCAAGGAAGTATTGCACACTGTTGTAGAGATGGAAAAGTTCCAAGTGTGTGGGTCAGATGTCAGGCTGGAAGCTTCTGACTCATATAGCTGCAGGGCTGATGAACACAACATTTGGCAGGTCAGATGGCAAACAGGCAGGTTGGGCAATGCTGTAACAGGCAGTTACAGCCAGTGCTGACAATTTCCAGCATGGGCAGTAATACTGTAGGCCACTGACTGGCTCAAGTTCAAAGAACCCGAGGTCCAATGATGAGCTACATGGAGGATCCAAACCCAGCAAAATTAAGCAAGCTTTGCCCAAGTGTCCAATATGCTGGAAGCAGGCCACACTCCCGAAGAAGCTTCCTTTCAATTGATTGGCTGTTAATCATCTTAACTGTCAAACCACAGAATCCCAGCCTAGTAGTCAAGTTAACACAAAAATTTAAGTATCACAATTAGACAAATCTGCTGCAAAAGACTTCTTTAAATTGTTGCTAAGCAAAGACGTCTCTCTTTGAGACTAAGTTACCGGACACAAGGCACTGGTATTTTCAATTACTTCATATGCATGCAAAAGCTGAACAATAAATAAGAAACACCAAAGAAGAATTGATGCCTTAGAGTTATGGTGTTAAGGAAGAATAGTGACTATGCCATGGACTGTCAGAAGAATAATATATCTGTATTGGAAGAAGTTCAGCCAGAATGATGCTTAGAAGTGTTATGGCTCATATTTCTTGTGGGTAAATACTAAGTAGAGGAATTGCTGGATCAAAAGGTATTTCTATTTCCAACCTCCTGAGGAAGCACCATATTGTTTTCCAGAGAGGTTGATACATTTTGCAATCCCACCAGCAATGCAGGAGCATCCCAGTCTCTTTACATCCTCACCAGCATTTATTGTCCTCTACTTTTTTGTTCTTTGTTATTGCTGGTGTGAGATGGTATCTCATTGCTGTTTTGATTTGCATTTCTCTAATGGCTAGTGATCATAAACATTTCTTCATATGTTTGTTGGCTGCCCAGATCTCCT